TTAATAAAGTCTTCTCGGGCAGTCAGCCGCGTCAACTGGTTACCGTAGTAAACCGACGTTTCTGGAACCAACTATGTACCCATCACAGGATTCTGATGTTCCCGAAACGTTGGTTTACTACGGTAACCAGTTGACGCGGTTGATTGCCTGAGAAGATTTTATTGATTGTACTCGCCGCGTAAGTCTCAAATCCTGAATAACATACTTTCTTTAACCGAACGAAATGATTGCGTGTTTCCTATCATTGTTTCTTTAAACCTAAAGACAGAGAAAGAACTAACATCCGAAACGTCGTAGTCATTACTCAACTCCAGACACTGACAATTTATACGAAATATCCTTTTTCACTACAATGTACCGGATTGTTGCCGGAACATTAAGAATTAAATAACGCCATGAATGCTTTGAGAAAATCTGAGGTGGAAGAAACACCATTCAGTGTGCGAACACAAACTTTTGCATGGGGTTAGGTTATTGACGTCGTTTACCGACGACTTTTCATGTGTTCTTGAAGAGTGATTTTTCTTGTCAAAAGGTGGAAAGCCTCCGACATAAAAAAGTACAAGTTCCTCTGTAACATCTCCTTGAGAATCTCGAATCTGCGCCTAGTAAGATGTTTATATGAAAGTCACGACCGAGTCCTGGCGCTTAGCTAAGCATCACGGATACATTTACATTCCCTTTCTAAGTTTAAAAAAACGTGAGGCTTGCCTCAACTTCAAACTTGTTATTCATAATTTTCTAAAAAATACAATTGTAAAATAAAATTGTTGCGTAACACTTTTAAATTTCTGACATAAATTACATATTACTTTCTGTATTCGGTCGGTTAATTACTTCTTACACTACGGTGGTCTAGCGGTTAGAACGCTGGCCTTGTAATCCCGGGGTCCCGGGTTCGATTCCCGGCGGTGCCCGAATTTATAACTTGTGTTGGGCAAGGCCGTGGTCTAGGCAACACGGAGTTTTCCTCCCGGGGCTTCCCCGGTTTCTCCGTGGCATCCATTCACACACAGAAGAAGGCAATGGCAAACCACTTCTGGATCATCTGCCAAGAACGTATATGAACAGGTCCCAGTCCGAGAAAAGGATGGAAGGATCCTGTTCATATGGACCTGTCGTCAGACAGAACACTAAAAAATAAAAATACCTTTGCAAAAGAGTTCATTGTAAGTGAATCGTAAATAATTAATTCTTAAAAACGATCTACACTATACCGGTTTCATGGACTGGTTTTCCTCAGAAATTGAAGGTCGCTCAGCTGACAAAAGGAGTGGAACACCAAATTGAGAGTTAATAACCTGGACTTTAAGATACCAACTCACGAAGACGAGCAGACGAAGAGACGCTATTATAAATGCGCGTGTATCTTTTCAGACAATTTTCCCATCTCTTATCAAAAGACACAAAGATTAAAACGTAAGAGACTGCAATTTTAAATGTTTCGTGTAGGAGCGAAAATTGGTCTCTCACATTCAGGAGTAAACAGAGGCTGAGTGAATTTGAGGAGAATCTTTCCATCTAAGAGAAATGAACTTAGAGCGGGGGTGACAAATTTGCATGACAATCTCCACGGTTAGTTCTCCTCTTCCAGGATTATCAGGATGATCTAACCGAGGTTAAGATTGGATGGTCACGTAGAATGCATGGGGAGGGGAGGACATGATAAGTGCTTACAAAATTTTGGTTATGAAGTTCTGAGACCTCTCGGATCTTGGCCGATATTAAAATACATTTTAGGGAATTAAAGTGTGGAATGGACTGATCTGGTGCATAGTACGGAATGCCTTGATCAGTTTCTCGATGGCCGTGCCCTATGGAGCATTTTAGTTTTCAAAAGGAAAGTACATTTTTGTACTAGAACGAATGTTATACAAAGTGTCGTCCTCCTACGTCACGCGTTCGTGTGATCGATGATAGGGAATTAGAATGTTCGAGTGTGGTATGGCCTCTAATGTCATGACGTCAATAAAAAATCTCAGTACTATTAACACACTTGTGAACCAAAATGGAACTGAATTTAAAATGTCGTGGCATATTTACGATTACGTCCCGGCACACTGGTTGAGAAACTCTACAACGAAGCGCCAAGAGGGGCGATATGTTTGAGGCACAAACTAGCCAGCCAATGAAGGATAAGCAGTCTTCCAGCCCATCCCAATTTGCCTCGTGCTCCACACTTTAATAACTTGTATCTCCGTCGTGCACTGCACTCAATTTGGCTACACGACACAAACAGAAACAAATGGGCTTACTGTTCGCGGCTGTAATCTTGAGACGTGCAATGAATGCAGGATGTCCGAAGCGTTAAAGGCTGGACAGGCATCAGATATCAGACTATTGCCTAAGCAGAAACATTGACTACATACTCTATAGTGGCTGTGCAAGCTCCATGTCAGTGTCTTCATCACGCGTAGTAACATTGTACTCACTGGTAGCTACACTGTTGTTACAGTCATCTTGAGTGTCGGTATCACTGAAATTGTCGCTGCCAGAATTGAGATTAATGACAATACGGTCTATCACATCTGGAAGGATGTCGTCTCTTTCCCAATATTGGCTTTCGACTGTTTCTGTGTGTCCACAAAACCCTTCCTTTGTCACAAGTGCCACTGCATCTTTCGTCACTTGTAATTTTTGCAGGCTCAGATCTCCTGTGATGTTGTTTTCACGCACGACTCTCTTTATTTTCGCCCGTGCAAGTTCAATGGGATTTAAATCGCACATGTATGAAGGTAAAGTAAAGTTTGTCCCACTATACGCCATGTAGGCCTTTGGGTGAGTGGAGGTATAGCTCCTCTCTTCCTTGACCTCGGCACTAGATGGGGGTGAGTGGTCAGGATCACGCCCCGGCCGGCTTTATGCCCGGGAAAGGACCCCGGTACCCATTGTAGAGGAGGCTGGGTGGGCCCCAGAGCCGGTCTGGACGCAGAGGCTAGAGGAAAAATCCTTTGCCACCGTCGGGGATCGAACCCCTGTCGTCCAGCCCGTAGCTAGTCACTATACTGACTGAGCTATCCCGGCTCATACATATATGAAGGTAGTCTAACAACTGCATGGCCGCATTTTTCCATGATGTGATCAATTTTGTAGATCTTCTTTTTGGGTTTCAGTGGCAGAATTAGGTTTTACAGCTCGTTTTTTCGCATGGTCTCGTTACAGTTCACACCTTTCTTGCGGAGAGAGGAAATCATCTCTGCCTTTGTTGCGGAGGCTGATGGCGGTTTGTCAATCTGGAGACAGGGATAAGGTGCGTTGTCAAGGACAATTACTGACTGAGCGGGAAGATTGGGAATCAGTCTTTTGACTGCCCATTTCTCAAAATTTGCAGCATTCATTTGACCATGGTAGTCCCCAGTTGCACGTCCAGCCTTATAAATAATCGCTGCGTTAGGAAGAAACACATTAATTCCTCCACACGCAGCATGATAAGCCTGTTCCCAGAGATCACATTTGCCTGGACGCCCATGACTTCTTCGTTTCGCCTGCATTCACGAAAGGTTGCGTTGCTGCCAATCCATGATTAATCAATATCCCTTATACCGGGACTCCTTCATTTTCCCAAGATATCTTTATCTCC